AGCACAGCTTCATATCAGATGGATTCTGCTAATTCCTGTTTTATCAGAGTCACTGTGGTTACAGCTGCTAATGAAACACTGTGGGAGGATTCACATGAGCAGCAAATCCACATCAACCACAAACCAACACTTTATATCAGCATCAACAGTCAGGAGGAAACATCGTTGCTGTCTGTGGTCCTGAAATGTATCTGAAATGTAAATGTTGTGAAACGAAGGGGTTTCTGTGTCTCTGAGCCCAGGACACTCTGACAAAAGACATTCTTCATCTCCAGAATTTCACTTCCTGATTTAAGTTAACAGTTCAGTATTAATTCTGACACACTATGGCTTCTGATTCTGTGAAATGTCTTCATCTTCAGCTCTGCATCTTTACTGCGGCTTTGATTTATAAATCATGAAACAGACAAAAAACTTTAGAAAGAGCTTTTTATAAGAGCATGGTGAAAATCTACAACTTCCTAGTTTCACTTCTAAATCCTGAACAATCAAAATTAGTTGAACACAAAACAGAAGAACAAAAAGTGATACATGCTTTCCACAAATAAAAGACTCGTGTGGTCAGTGAGCACTACAGGATTTCTCAGCTTCAGTATCTCAGGTCACAATCCAAATATCTGAGGTAGAGTAAAAACAAGGGAAAGAAATCATACGTAGATCAGAATATGACAGAATACAATGGAAACATTTCATACATCCAATTTTCCAACCAAGTTCAAATACACACACAAACTTAACTGATGGCGGTAAAAGGAAAACAAAGCCAGTCTAACTCTGCAGGGAAAGAAGCTGCTTTAAAACTAAGAGTTGCCGAGCAACGCCTCCACTTGTACCTTTTGATATTTACATTGTTGTGACAGAAAACTGCAGCAAACTCACAGAACTTAGCAACAACAGGAAACACTTCGGTTCATATTACACACATTTTTCTACCAGAGTGTGTGAGTGCTGGAAAACACAGATTTTATAATAAAACAGAACAAATGTACTTCTTTCTATGGCCGGCTTTAACAAGATTTTATATCATGAAACACCAACTGTAATTCAGTGGCAGTCCGCACATCCAATGGTACACTGCACAAACAAACTGAACACAATTCAAACAAAAAATGACCTTGTGTGAGATTCATCATGTTTCACTGGAGAATTAAAAACCCTCATCATGAGAGCGCCACAGCGTGACACAGAAGCGACACCGAGTCGTCTAAAGTTGCGTCTCTGCTGCACATGAGAGAAAATAAAAGTAATAACACATAAAATTGTCACATTGTGTTGATCAGTAGCTTGTAGGGCAGTGAAATGACCAGATTTCAGCCTTGAATTTGATTTCGGCTTCCTTCTATGAAATGATGATCATGGAACAAAACTGAAACTGTGTGCTCGACAAACAGAACACAAAAGCACATCAAGCACTTCCTGAATCACAGCTGTTCTCTGAAGGTTTCCTGAACTCGTCTGCACGAGTAACACTGTGTTAAGACACATATAACAAAACTGAGCTGTGCTGTACAGCAGAGGGGGAGGAGCTTGTCGTTCAGCATCATACTCTGTTGTTTTGAAATACTTTGAATTTAATGGAAGAGACGTAATGAAGACGAAATCACGTGTGAAGAGTGCTTTAACCTCCTAAGACC